GGAAGTATACAGGGTGTTTCCATTAGAGGGCTATTTACTCCAAAATTTTATTGTTTTCAAATATTTAAAGGCAATGGATTCTTAACGAATATGCCGATGTATATTTTGTGAGTCGTTCGACGGGCGATAGCACAATCTTAATGTCTTTAATACGTGACCAAAACAGCTGAAGCAGAATATCTCATCGTGATGTCATGGCACAGCGTGAAAAGCGCGAACCCAGCAATCTTGAAATCTGGTGGGTTTTGTTCGATGGCTTTCATATGCTTGTGACTGGGTAAAGTAGGTGCGCTCTATTGATTACGATTAAAGATGGCCGCGTTGACATGTTAGCGCTATTTTGTAGCCGGTTTTTGTGAAATTGAAAAGTAGGGGTCAGTTTTTCGAGCACTCAGCGGGAAGCCGTCGGCGAGAAAACCATGTTCATTCATTCCGCTTTTGTCAGTCAGTCCAAAATCGGAGGGCTGCAAGTAATTGAATTCGAAAAAACCGCGCAAATTATCAATACGGAAGTATCGCGGATTAAATCAAAATCGAGTAGGTACGTTCGTAATATCATAACTAAGAGAAAACCGTATCAGTGATGACGTGCACAAAAGGTCATTTTCGAAAGGACTAAGTAGCGCGGTTAGTGAGGTTTTGTGGAAGATAACGTTCCGTGAACCCATTCAAAAAGGATTATCGTGGAAATTCAGTAAAAGACTAAGCATGCGAATGATTTAGTATCTATATAACTATCCAAAAATTATAAAAGTACGAGCGGACTTTTTGCCGAATAAATCAGAAGTTTAGGGTACCTAATAACTTCAGTTATTCAAAATTCCACTTCGAAAGCGAAAGTTTCAAGAAACAACCTAAATCAGTTTCGGATGGGCCTTGCAATGAGTGCATATATAAATTATACTGCGTTAGCGGAAAACAGATGATAAAAAATAGACCGTTCGTTGCCCACTCATTGGCGGTAGAAGAGGCAATCGTACAAAAAAATCAAAAAAACTTCAGCAGTATCCCTTCCGGACAACCAGGTTTCGTCCTATATTGTCCAGATTTAAGGTACCATTTCTTTTGAGAAATGGAGTACTGACTTGTACCATAAGGAAAGCGATTCCAGAAGCCGATATAATTAAGGCAACATAAATCTTTTTGATTTGTATTCAAAATAACTATCGGTTCTCTCTAAGAAGTTGCATTAGGTTTTATGTATGAGCAATCAGGAAAATAGTTAAAGGGTTCTTGCAAATTGGCTCCTTGGAGTACAAACAAAATAAAATAATTGCGTTTGAACTTTTTGATTTTTTCGTTTGAAATTGTATTGTCACTAAGCATATTTCTATAAATGAGTTAAATTTTGTTAGCTATAAGGCGATATTTTGTTTTATAAAATTGCCCTATTTATTATTGTTATTAAGGTTTAATAAGGGTTAGTTAGAAAATAAACGTGGTCACGGCATACGAAAAAACTTGCATATGAAAAATGTAAGAGAAAGTGGGATTTGGATCGATTTTTTAATTTTGCCCCACGTTGGGCACCAAATAAATTATGCCGTGTGCATAGCGGCAGTCATGCAACTGATTACGTTATGCAGTTTATTTTAGTCCACTCTTTTATTTTTCAGGGTCGCAGAGTTCAAATCCGCGGCTTTTATAACTTTTGGTATCCATATTTCACAAAAAAGAGCTTTGATTCCCGCAAATTCTTTCACAACTTAAAACCAACCCCGGAATTTTTTTAGGATGATTGACTTAACTTCTCGCGGTATCACGCAACCGCCCTAACGACTTTTGGCGCGCAATCTTCTTCACCAAATATATAACCGCCCCGCACAAGCTTACATGTGATTGACTTAAACTTTTCTAACTGCACGGTGCTATCGTGGCTTGACGCATATTGCCTTACGGTTCTTATGAATTACTAATCCCGCTGCCTTTAATTGTCGATTCTCGTTTTTTTCCACCAATAAGCTAGCTTTTTCCCAACCAATGAAACCCATAGGGACATTACTGATCAAAGTCACGTTGACTGACTTTCCATAGACTCAAGAAAACAAATCGCGCAGCATACTAGACTCGATAACGGCGTATTTAGCAGGTTTGTTACGTAGTTCTAGTTAATTTCCTCTCAAGTCACGACTTGCTGGCACCGCCAACTTTCATACGCATTTAACTCGGCAGGACTGTACTCGGGAACCACCCGCCCAAATTAAAAATCGAAAAAATTGAGTAAAATTCAAATCAATAGGTATTCGTTAATAGGCTCCCGTTACAAACTCTCTCACTGTTGAATTTTCACTTCGTTTTATTTGGGGTTGATGTTCCAGCCATGTTCATCCCCCTACCGTAAATGACGTAACGAAAGTCTTACGCTTACAAGTTTGCAAAATCGGAAATGTTTCAATACGTACGCCCGATAGCAAATTAAAAGGTTAACTCACGTAACGTTATTCGCCCCTTAAAGGAGGGGCTCTTGGCACACCCTAAAATCTACTGTTATTGCCGGATGTCGTCACGTAGAGGAGGATTTGTAACGAGAGTTCACTAACACATTTAAATTTGTTCGATTTTTTATTTGGGCGAATAGCGCCTGAGTGCGAGCCTGTCTAGTTGACTGCGTGTTAATGTTTACGGCGAAATATTCTGCGTCATGAGACAAAAGCAACGGAATGTAAGTGGCCGTTCGGCTGAATCAGATCAGTTTCCTTATCAGGATATTCCGCAGCATGGGTACTGTTGAGTCCGAGATTTCTGGCAGACCCGCGAGATTTCTGTCAAATTGATTTTCTGGAGATGGGGTTGGTAGGACCGGTAGAACCGATTATCAGCCATTTTTGGGGCACATTCTTTAAATTGAAGGTAGTTGGGAGGTAACCGTATGGCCATTACGCGGTAGTGTCGTATTGCGCGGTCGGAAATGTTGGTTAAGCCGGGGGCATTACGCGTTAAGCCACGAAGGCGCTAGTTCGATGCGCGACCAGAAAGAAAATTTTAGGCGTGAAAGCCGTCGGGTAGTTAGGCGGAAGCCACGATCAATCGCGCTCAAGTTTTTTTAAGTGACTTACCCGAATTTAGTGATTTGCTGTTGAGTTGGTGAATAAATTCAAACTAAATCGTGGAATGTTACATAAGAGATTGCGATTGGAATAGTTTTATTATTGGTACCCTGGTGTAAAAATTTTTGATTTTGTAAGAAGAGTGGTTTTCGATGCAATTAATAAACTACATCGCAAAATTAAAATTAACACAATCGCACAAACGAAAATAAAATAAAGGAAAACCGTGCTGCAAACGCTCGCGTAAGTTCGTGACAATTTACGAAGCTGAATGGACCAGGTAATAACTACGTACCTAATTAAATCGCCGCCGCCTTTGAACGCACCAAGTGCAAATATTACGACAACCTTGAAGTTTGGAATCCAATTTAAAATGGAATAGTTTTTTTCAGCCCTCCCGTCACGAGACCGAAATTCTATAAAGACAGGCATTTCAGGGCGTTCGGTAGTAGTCGGTATTCTACGCATCGTAAAAAGGGAGAAATCGTTCTCTTTGTTAGGGTACACAGATTGAATGCAGTCCTTAAGAGAGGGTTGGGGTTTTTGAGAATTTCTTTGCCAATCAGATATTACCCCGACCAAATTTCCCTCGTGTGTTTTTGCTTCGGTGAAGCAATATCAGTACCAAATGTAGCATTAGGGGTGTAAGTCCTAGGCCTTACACTCCTAATGCTACATTTGGTCCTTCTAGCCTCAAGCCTTTAAACGAATTGGTGCCCCGTTACCACAAGTGTTCCGGTCCCGGTGGAAGCTACATTTGGTCCTTCGAGCCAGATGCTACAATTTTGGAAATTCGTATTTATTTGCAAGCATCGAAGAAACGACATTAACGAAAGATCATAGTAAGGTCCATTTTCTTGTGGTGGTAATAATCGTGAGCTAACCTATTGAAAAAAATTGTCTTTGTGAAAATTGTAACTGTCACTACAAGTTGCACCCCCTCGTGTTAGATAATCACACCTGGTCCTACTCTCTAGTCTATTTACTCAATCCAAATAAAAGACTCCTCACATTGCCTGACCTATAGTGGCGTCTACGTTTAAACTGGAAAGTTGGATCGCATGTCCCAACTTGACGAGCAAATGTCGACTTTTAGCCTTGTGTCACTACATTCTACTGTTTGGTGCGAGAAAGTGGACATTTTTTGCCTTTTGAGGGCCAGAAAAATACTACAGTAATGGTTTTGTGATAGCGGAATGGAATACGACCACGATCTACTATACAATTTTTCAATCTTGAGCAAGAAAGGAAACGATCTGTAGGATGTATCAACCCACGTGGGCATGAATTGGTCATTTACAGGTCATTGGTGTTTACCTGGAGGAAACAGAGTAAACAAAGGCGTTTTTTGAAATCGATACGAACGCTTGAATTCGGGAATTAAGGATTCAGAGCCAGCGTTAGGGCGCGACATGACTTGAAAGCAAGAGAATTTTGCTTTTCTAATTGCATTTACATTACGTGCTCTTTACTGAATTGGTACAATTAATTGTTCGTGTACATTTCACTTTTTAATTAGCACCTACTTAGAGTACGAAGATGAGAAAGAAACAGTTTATCATTGAGTGAAACTATTTGTAATTCCCATGCTGTTATTTAAACGGTAGGTAGTAAGTATAGAAATTAAGAAACAATTACAAAAATCTCAGTTTTCCCAATGAGTATTCAATTTTTGTACTGTCGTAGATATTAGATATCCATTGTAGGCCACCGCGGTAGTTTCTAATTATGAACGCTATCCATCAACGTCCTTTCTTTCTATCAAATACGAAACCTTTTTCTATTTTTTGTTATTTAATTGGTTTCGCCTAATTAATTGTGTTATAAGCTGGTGCCGTATAAAAAGAAGTTTTTATTTGAAGTTTAACCAGCGCTTTTAATTACGTAATTATTATAATCCGATGCAAGGAATGGAAACGGTTGTTGTATTGTTGTTCTTCTTGTTTGTTGCAGAGCCTATTCAATAATCAGCGGGATTCGGCATTAGTGGACAGTTTAAATTCAAAGTATTACTACTACACGAGAACAAAAGGACTTTTTAGGATATGTTATCCGAAGGAACGTCCCCCAACAGGTGCGTATCGTTTGATATTTACTTATGATATTTTTACGCGGAACGTGGCAAATTCATACCCTTGGACTTTATCCATATCTTTGAGATAAATCTACACGACACTTCGTCACGTACACATGTAGGGTTTTAATTCACACGCCAGTGCAAAAGGTCGTGGTTCTCAGCCTTCGGGAACCTGGTCAAGGAACATAGAGCGATAATGTACATCAAAATCACGCTCCAGGATTAGCTTACGTCTGCCCCCATGGATCTGTTGGAAAGGTAAACAAATGGACATTTTTATTTAGTTTTGTAACTCTCTACCTCGAAGCACGGTGGCTCGGCACGATATTGTAAATCTGAATTCAAAAGAGGTTTTTCGGAAAAAAAATACTTAGAGGTGGGTTTCAGATTTTGACACTTAAGTGACTCGCGCGTCGATTTTTAATCTGTGAAGGTTTTAAGAATTCTCAGGAGAGACCTTGAAGGTTGTAGAGATGAACTGAAGGATTATGAAGATCTTCGGATTCTCAGATTTTCATGTAGGTAACTATGAAAGCATTAACTGCTTTGCAAGGTCTAATATGCATCGCATTGAAGACTGTGTGCTTTGGAAGCTCTGGAGGGACGAAGGTGGGAATACCATGAGGACTCTGAAACCGGAGTGGACAAGCGAGGGAGTGCGGAAGCCGTTAATAATTAAATGCAATACAAATCTGCAAATCAGTTCCCTGCAATGAATTTCCGCAGGTCGGTTCCTTTAAGGATATTACGATTACGTTAAATAAACATCCGCTGCAAATTCTTAAAGATAACCGACCAATGCTTTATACAGTTCAAAAAAGTAGCCTGCAGAGATCGGTGGAATCTGTGTTTTTCTTTGGCTTACAAATGGTAGGGCCTCCCTGGCAAAGGCTCCCTCCAAGAAAAATTAAAAAATGGATCGCTTTGAACTTGCGAAACCCACTCGGGTACAAAATTGCCTCACGTAGTATGGAAATTTCTGGACAATGAGGCTTGTATTTACTTTGACCGCCTTCATAACTTGCGTCAAGGTTTTTTCATATGAAAAATGGCACTTTAAATGTGATTTAATCGTCCGCTTGTTTAAGTACGGCCGACGTTTGTTTGTAGTACAACTTCTTCGAAATGAGGTCACCTACCGTACTCGTAATGCGCCGCTTAAGACTCACTTTACACTCTTAGTTTAAAAAATAGATTTTTCCTGGTAACAAATGTGTTAAATCTCTTACGATGATAACAGTTACATATGCGTACGCGTTACATTAAAGGGGATTGTCTCGGAATTGAAATGACAGCGTTACGTATTCTACTTCCTACTATTCGGACAAACAAGTGGTAATCGCTGGGGGAAACGTCCGGATTGTAAGGAGGGTGGTCGATGATATCCCAGCCGAATAGTTTGATGTGACACATGTGGACGCGCATTGTGATGATGCAAACACATTCCTTCTTTTGTTTCCGATGACTCGCCGAAGTTTCTTGAGAGTCTTCTTTCGGGATGAAATCCACAAATGCTGTGGCATTTTCCATGCGCTTTCTCTTGTGTTCACAGGTGAGCTGCTTAGGGCTTGTATTAACCGAGGACCTCCGACACAATATTACTACACGGAGAAGTAGCCACACTCTTCATTAGATCTTCCTTTACCGCATGAAGTTTATTCTCCTGTTAATGTGCAGCATTGCCGCCTTTGATCCCGGAAAACTCGCCCGCCCCGACCGCTGCATATCGTGGACGTTTTCCCGGCCCTCAGAAAACTCCCGGCTCCACTTCCGCACGTTTTTTTATGTCTACACTTCTCCCCATGCACTTCCACTAACTGGCGGCGAATGTCTATCGCAGAAACCTTTTTGCATTTCAACATCCATTGACTGAGTTCTATCCTAAATGACTGCTACGCAGCGACTGAGGTCTCGCGGATGGTTCTACACCTCGGTGGGGGAACCAAGGAATGCAGCGGTCTTGTCAAATTTCGCCTAGCAACTCGCCTTCGGAAATGCCATCCTTGGACGGCGCACCCTGTAAGCCAATAGAAAGCCTGCCTTTTTAATTATCGCGGCTGCTTTAGACGGGACCAACTCAAAAGCCGAGTTTCGCGATGAGTCTACATGTTATAAATAAGCTGGTTTTATTAACTCGCGCTCACGTCTCATATGAAGCGGTACATACAGGGTGAAATTTTGAAAACTTACCATTCGCAAAATGAAGCTATCAAAAAGGGTACATAACGGGCAGGGATGACAGGAGAAATCTGGTAGAAAACTTATCAATGTTTGAAAGTTCCAGGGAATTTCTTTTATAATTTCAATAGTTTCAAGACCAGTTGAGCTATTCTCAAACGGTTATCAAAAGAAAGACAGTTGTCAATAGATTCAATAGAGTTTCAAAATAATTTTAATTCAAGAAATTTTCAAGATCTAGCGGGAATATCAAGAGAGGTTATCAATTAAAAGTGTTTAGATTCCGTTTCATGATAGTTTCAAATGAATTTGTACATCCTCAGGTTTTACGCAAGGACAGGGTAATTTAATGAATGATCTCAAAAATATTACAAATTCAATAGAGTTAACGCAGATAACGCTAAGTGAATAGCCAGCAAATGTAATACTTACAATTATATTGTATCGAAAAAATCAATATGAAATGAAGCGTTAATCAAGGAGTCGAAAAAAAAAATTACTTTTGAACTTCGGGTCGCAACCTTCTCAGCTCAAAAGGGCGCATTCTGCAAATCTGTAACAGATAATATCACAACAAACAAATAAAAGGGGTAGTGAATCGCGCTGTACATAAAATATTGCGAAATAGCAATTTCTAACGTCTGACACGGAGGCAAATCTGATACTAAAAGTAGTTAATACTCAAAAAGAATCAATAATTCGATTCATTTCACACTAGCAAAAGCAAAATTTGGTTCAACCACGGGTTCCTTGTACAATTCAAGTATGAAAGCATAAACTTGACGTTAAATTCAGGAAAAACACTTTACGATGCACAAATAACTAAACTTAAGAGAAAAGGTTGAGTGAAGGTTAAAGTTGAGCGAAGGTTAAAACACTCCAAAGATACATATGGAAAAAAACGAGAAAAAGAATGTTACAAAATATTGAAAATCCTCCAGCTGGGTTCAGCATCAGAAGGTAGAATAAATGAAACATCATTCAACACACAAAAATGTTACGAGGGAGCATTCTTATATGTATCTACTGAGTCAAGAAAACAATGAGGAAACACACCCGCACGTTAGTAAGGGAGGTATTCGAGGAGGTATTGCATTGGGGCAAAAATGACCTCCTACTTTTTTACGGAAATACACGTTTTGAAGCACCAGGAATCAGTATCAATCAAAATCTAGATGTCCGTCTGTCTGCTTGTACTCTCATTTACGGTTAAACGGCTGAACCGATTGGAACCAAATTTGGTACATATCAGACATAAAAGGAAGAGCTGCAATGAACAGAATACAAAATTTGACTTTACGATCTTGAAACCAAAATAAACGGACCTTCCTTGAACTGAATCTGATTGTTTAGATTTAGAACTTTTAACTGAAAATTAGCATTTATGTTTAATTAACATACCATTAAAAATTGTGGAAACGATCGCAACTACCAGGTTCAACTGCATTTCTCGTGAAATGCATTATTAAGTGCCAACTTTCAAAATTGAAAGTAGAAAAGTAAAAAGACCAATTTGTACCTACTAGCATAACTAATCTTCTCATAGGTCGTGGCGTTATGAACCAAAAAATCGCATCGAGTGTTTGAAGGAAAGCAAAAGGTGACTAAAATTTGATGCTTATAGTTCATCCACCCAAGACCTCTTAGCGGGCACTCGTCATCGCTACCTACTGGTATCGAATTTTAAAAAGTTAGCATAACTATGTACTGTTAGCAATGATTTAATGTTATTCGTTATCAACGATGGACAAATCGATAAACTGCAAGTAGCACTTTATGCTTTACCCATTTCTTATTACGCTCTAATAATTTCTATTAAATACATCTACCGTTAACAATTATTTTTTTATATCGAGTCTTGCAGAATATGAAATTTAAAATAATTGTATTTTTGTAACTGGTAATCCAATTTTTTTTTTCGTTATTTATTAATAAAATTGCTGTTATTACGAAGCGACTTTCACTTGTTTGTTGAATGTAAAAAAACTGTCAACGCGAACGTTATTATATAAAGCGCCGCAAATGGAGCGCACGTACAAGAAAAATGATTTTTCGCTTTGGACCTATGAAATTGGAAACATCTAAACCGAGATCTAAACTAACTCTTTACTCTGCTGTTTTCAAATTGTGTATGCCCCAAATACTGGTATGGCCTACGCTTTGTGCGTCAATATTCATAGAGATATTAAACAAGTATAACGGTTTTCGCTCTAAGGCGAGTAACTTCAGCGCATTTTCCAAGACTGATCAGTACTTCCCAAAAGGTCATAGCTATGTGCACTGTGATTTTCTTTACTGGAGGCATATATGGTTAAAATTTCAAAGAAATATCTCCATGAATAAGAAAGTTGCCTTTGCGCAGTCTGCGCATGCGCACAACTGATTTTTACTATATGCGATATATTTGCCATCACCAGAAGTATCTGTGGTTAGAATTTCAACAAAATATATTAATAAATAAGGACGTTGACATTGCGCAGTTTAATTTTCATGATTTTCCTTGCTCAGGTGCTAGAGCTATACGCTACCTAATGCAAAAAGAGCGAACTTAATACCTTGAAAACTATGGGAGTAGTTAAGGCCTCGGACAGACGGACGGGCCGAGATAGTGGCTGCACTTCGTTGGAAAATGCGCTAAAAAGAGCAGATACATTTTGCCTCCTTATTACATGAAGTTGCATGTGCATTTTTAATCAAATACTGTACATGCTACTATTCCTTACCGAAAGTATAGAGAGCTCTAATACAGACAGCTATGAATCAAACCAATAAATTGCCGCTAGACGGTTGACCGTAGTTCAACGTTTTAGAATCACTTATTAATTAACGTGTCAACTGTGTGAATAAATCAACAAGTGAAATGGTGAGGAAGTAAATATGTGTCTTTTGGTTAAATGGCAAAGGAGATTGACGATTCCTTTAAGGTTCGCATAAAATTCTGAATATTCGCAAGGTTACATCTTATGTTAAAATAGTAGCACTTATTACAAACTATCTAATTTTGGTTATTTCAATTCTTAATTTTGTTTCTTTTGCCAAAAGATGGCTGTGAAAGGGTGAGCGCTTAGACCCAAGTTATGCTGTGAATTTTGTCATACTAATAAGTATAGTGTGCCTGTCTATCTGTAGTAAAGCTTAACTCCTGGATCAGGTGTCAGGTTAAAAGACCACGCGTAACACCTACAACAACAGCAAATTGTGTACATTTCTGATCCAATCACTTTAGGTGGTCTCACAATTTATAAATTATAAATTGTTACCTCCACCTTGGTTGTCATTTGTCTTACTGAGTCGTTGACTTGTAGTTGGTCTTTAGGTTGTTAACTCATTGTATAGAATGTACCTTTTTCTGCTTTGCCTATACAAATACTCTGTATGTATTATGTCGTAAAGAAATAAAGTGGTGTTCGTCTTGATACAACCAAAAACTTAATTTGAATAGATTTGTGACTAGAAAGTCTGAGAACGTTGTGCTTAGATAAAGCGACAATTTGAATATCAAAATCGATACGTTACCTGGATTATATCTTCAAATCAATAAATACTGGCAAAAGCAGGTAATACATCGTCTGCTTTATTAATGATGCAAACGTTGTAGCATTGAGTAATAAATATGAATATGAGGTTGTAGGTTATAATGTAAACAATTCAATGTAAGTTGCGGAACATAAATGTAAAAATTTCAATGGATATTCTAATGCAAAACTGAACTAGAAATTACCCCAAAGTACCTCTTCGTAAATATCGGCGTTTAAACGAAAGTTGTACGTACATGTAACGGAGTTGTTTCTGTGGAACTGGTCTGATTTTAATGAACAGACCTGCTGCCCTTTAACTGACCTGATTTGTCTAAACAGACCCGTTTCCGTCGCTCAATCCAAAAACCGTTGAGCCAACGCCAACCCGTTCCTGATAAGCAAGCCTGTTTCCGTCGACAAACAGAACCGATCGAATGACTTTGAACTTGGCGCATGCGCAGATCTCAAGGTCCGGTGTGTTCTTTAACTACTCCCAACGTGAGTGTTTGCTAATCCTTGTTAGCGTGCTTCCTTTGAACTCTGGTTGTAACGGCCTTGTAAGTTCAGAAGGGCGCTTTCTGCTTTATCTGTAACAGCTGATAACAGCACAAACAAACACACAAAAGGGATAGTGAATAGCGCGGAGCAATAATATTACGATAGTCTAACGTCTGACACTGAAGTAAATCGTGTACTAAAACCGTAATTAACACTCTATAATCATTCAATTACATTTTACAATTTTCGTTAATTAAGCGAAAGCAAAATGTTGACTCAACCACGGATTGTCGTACAAATCAATGATAATTTACAAAGCAATGGTAACTAATATCTTCGTATAACAAAATCGTAGAGAAACTCATCTTGGAAGGTAAGTATATTCTTCGGAGCTATTTACAAGGTAATAATCTCCAAAAGATTTCGATTAAATGGGATCTATATCGAGGTGTAGGGAAACAAATATCATGTAAGTATGTCACCGGGTAATGTAGGTAGAAAATATGATCGATTTCACAAGATGGCGGTGGAATTTTTCAAGAATTGGTAGTAAAATTTGGCGTAGATGTTTCAAAGGATGTTGACGTAGTAGTATCTAGGTAGATAAAAACAGAAAAGTAATCTAGAAGACAAAACGATAAGAACTTAAAATTCTGAGAGAACTTTGAGGGAAGAAAATTACCCCAAAGAAATATGGTGATAGCCAAAACCATAAGCCCTTATTCAGGTAGACACTAAGTCATCTAAAAATAGTAATAGCGGATCAGAAACACTTGCATCCATCGAATATGTAAGCAAAATCTTCACTGAAGGGAAGAAGTACGGATGTACAGAGAGTGCGTATGTAGAAAAGAAAAGAAGATCGCGGCCTCGAGCGGAGAGAATAAGAAAACTATTATAAAACAAACCTATAACACTCGGATGGCCTCTAGCGGTGATCGAAAGAACCAAAGTAACAACAAATCTACCATAGGAGTAACTTAAGTACATTTTCACTAAACGGGTTTATAAAGGGAATGTATAGATGGCGTAAGAATATTGAATATAAACGAGAGTAGAATTTCAACTGCGAGAGAAAAACGTAATACATTCTGGAAATTATATTCACAAACCAAATTGCTTAAATATTTAATGAAAACCCCTTCAAAATTGAATTCGACTCTACAAATAGGACAGTTTGTAATTACGAAAATCGCGGGTTTTAATAGTTATTTATGTATTAAGGGCATAATAGTGATGTTTATATTCTCGAGGGCGACGAGTTAAAAAGCTCGAGGGCCTATGGCCCGAGAGCTTTTTAGTCGCCCGAGAGTATAAACATCAGTTTATGCCCGTGGTACATACACAATTTTATGTTTTACAAATAGTTTTCTTCGTCAAAATTCGTTTACAAAATAATTCATTATGTTTGATCGAGTATGCGTGGTTCGAATTTGTTAATGCGATTGAAACCATCCAAACGTCAAACGTAATTTTAAATAATTCAATTCATCGTGAATGAGCAAGAAGTTCCAGAAACTATACGAAATAAGGCCAATCTTGTGATTTAGTAGGTACCTATTGACAATTAATAATTGACGTTTCTAATTTTCAATGATCTGCAAATATTTGTTTGTTTTGTCATTAAGCATAAATGAGTTACTATGGTGATACTTTACGCCCTAGGGCATAAAGTGGTACTTTATGCCCGCGTATCACAGATATAAAATGTGCTATGATAGGTTAGTAAGACATAAAAAAAATGAAAAGCTATCTACATGACTTTTTATATTTACGTACCTACAATTAATTTAAATATTTGTTACAGTTAAAACCTACTTAAGCCCAGTGGAGACACACTGCAACAACATCAACTACTTCATTCCCGACGACAACAATGAGACGAAAGACTTCTCCGAGGACGCTTGGAATAAACTACGTAAGCATCCCCAGCCTTAATTAAACCTGTGATTGGCAGCGGTCACTTTTCTAGATATGGCCCGGTCGGTTATCGCCCTATTCATCTTGACGTTCATAACAATTTTTGCGACTTTCTGTACGGGTGTGACCGGATGCTGGAGACGATCGCCGTGTAATATTACGGCAACTGCCGTGCTAATGCTTCTCGCGTGTAAGTATCGAAAGTTGATAGTTCGATTGGGTCTACTCTCTCATCGTTGTAGGTCTGCTAAGCGCAGGCGCCATGGGCTTGTGGCATGGCGTTGAGTACTACGAGAAAGAAAAGGTTGTTGGAGAAGAATTTTATCAGCAATGGAATAATGTAAGTTTATGTTTTATGCTCTCGGCATCAATTTTTTTTTGATAATGAGAGTTGACATAGAAAACGTGCACATACGGAAATCCGATGGAATAGTATAGGTATCTCTAGTCTGAAAAACCTAGCAGTACTTATATATATGTAGTTGGATTTGCTGTGCCAACTGTGATCAGAAAAGCCCTATTAACAATCGTGTTCAAGAGAACTATCACTAGGCTTGCCTAACTTGACAGGAAACTCAAAATTCACTGTGTTCGTAAACACACGTGACAAAACATTTCTTCAATTAAGTACAAAGACTTTAAATGCAAAATGAAATGTCTTAATTTTCACATAATTAGTTACGAATAATTTTAATCTACCCTTTTTATAAGAATATTTTAATATGTTGGATTTTAAAGTAATTTAATTTTAAATGTTTTGTTGAGAGTCGATTTTCTTCAAGAATTATGCGATTGACGTTTTGGTCACAGTCAATACAAAAAAAATGTCAATATATTAGTATCTAAATCAGCGAAAGTTTGCATTCAAATCGTCCGACTTTTTCAGTTATACCAACTTAATTGTTAATTTCGCCATCATATAATTTAGGTTCTTCAAGAGAATACGGAAGTGCTGTACGACTGGAGTTTTGTTTCGGCGTGGCTGGGCGTATTTTTCTGCCTAGGCGGATCGTTCCTGTTCTTTTTCGGATCGTGTTGTCTAGGCAACGAGAAAGAACGAGAACAATTGAACAACGTTCAATATATCATGCCAGGTTCGTTGAAATATTTACACGTACCGTATTCGTAGGTTCTGCGTGAAAATACCAGAATCAATTATGACTGGAGTTACATGCTTGCCTGGGTTGGGGTTATTTGGTCTTTGGTCGCTGCAATTTTATTTTCCGGAGCAGCTATATGCCTGCGGGGTGAACGGGAACGTGAAGAGGCTATCAACATGCAGTATCTAATGCCTGGTAACTTTGGGGTTCATTTATCAAATTCTATTTGAAGGCGTTTGACGTTCAAATAGAAATTCATTTGTAATTATATCCTCATTTTCTCCATTCATGTAACTTTCAGTGAAATAATTTTTCTGCTTTTTTGCTTTGCGAAGTTTTCACCTTTTTTTTAAATTAAAAAATAAATAAAATAAAGAGTATTTGCATGACCTTTTCTAATAACTAACGCCTTACTGAAACTGTTGCTTAAGGACCGGCTGGGCCAGATAAAAATGGTAAGCGGCTGATATCACAGAACGCAATAAGGACAAGAAAATATTTTTTATGCAAATCGCGGGCTGAGAATGATATTTAATTACAGCCGCATGCCACTTTTTATTTGGCCACCCGGTATAAGCGCTCCAAGTTAGAGCGCTCCTTTTGAAATGCCCAAAGATTAATAATTACAACATTCTAGTTTATCCCCAAAAACAACAATACGCTTATGCTGGATACGCCGTTCCACCGCCTCAGTCTTACGCCGGCCCATGCCCTTACTACACTGCGGGATCAGGATATGGTTCATATAACTATTAAAATCATATCTGGGATAAATTATATAGATTTTGTTTTACATTGACTTAATAAAATCGCAAGACTGTTCCACAATAGTCTACGTCGTTGTAAAATATTTGTAATATTTGTATTGAATGCATCTGACTCAATGTGGTTCGCTATTAACAGATTTTTTTTACATAATTTATGATACAATGTATAAATGTTTCACTTATTTGTATATCATAGGTAGATTCTATAGTTAATATTTTTATTTATACATTTCGAATAGGTATTTACTTGACGACGTTGGTGTTCATCCTTTGCTTAAATGGGACTCGCCGCTCTTCGAGTTGGTATTTTGTGATTGGTAGTGCCTTGTATTTGGGATGAATATCGGCTTTGGTTGAATTACAAAAAATAGCAATGTTGGTGCATTACTTACAGGATTTTATGTACCTAACTTTTAGAACAATTGCTCATGTAGACTAAAATTATATATTGTTTCAATTTTTTGGTATTTTTAGGAACTTAATTATAATTACAGTATTTATAAATATATGTTTATAGTTAAGTAGGTATTATAAATTTTTGTAGTAAAGTTATTTTTATATTACTTATTAATATTATGTATTATTACAATAATTTTTTGTAAACTATTTTTGTTTACTTGTAAAATAAAATTTTGTAATGATTTGTACTTATTGAGTTTTATTTTGTATCTTTTAAATGTAGGGAGACGATTCATTTTCATTGTGAAGTTGATTAAAATGCATATTCTGTGGCCTCTTGGGATAGCTCGAGTTTTGTTTATTCAAAAGCTAATGCATTGTTTAAAATGCTTATGGATTAGCAGTTGTCAATTTGTCATTATAGTATTTAAATAAATATATAACACAATAATACATCATACTTCCCGTTAGAGAATGTTCTTGACCAAGTATTAACTTCAAAGAATTTACCTGCTTGCTTTCTTAATCTAATTCCAATTGTATTGTTTTTTTGGTTATTTATGAATTATGATATGTTAACTACTATCAAAGAGTAATTATGGGTACTCTTTGCTACTATCAAAGAGCTAGTATCTACCTATTACAATAACAGAATAAGAAAGTAGGAAACCATACTATAACACAGCTGCATTGTGGTTGGTATATACTGTGCAGTAGTAGAGAATCGTGTGGCTGAAACCTTAGATCATATAAGTATATTGAGTATGATCAAGAGTATGGTTACTCTTTGGTATGATCATTGAGTAAAATCCTTCACTCAACGGTATGATCTAAGAATACACCGATAACGTGCGCACAAACGTATATTCATTGGGAATATCCTACTATACTTTAATTTCCTTTACCCAAAATTGTCATGAAACCTTCATTTTCATGCCTACTTTATGTCAGGAAAGTATTAGCATTGTATTATACTATGGTATTAGTTTCCATGACGGAGGCAAACCGGTCTACTTTTCCTGCCGCCTGTCACTTTACCGACCGCACTTTCACTTTACCTGCCGCACCTGCCACATTGCTAAATGTCTATAACGACTCCTGTCATCATTGACAGATTGGCATTAATCAAAAGTTCTATATGAAAATTGAAATTTTATGTTAAAATACGATTTCGGGTAAAATTTAATGCAAAACTCGTCAGTAAAATGACGTAATACTTGACTCGGAAATTAAAGTACTCGGGCCCAAAGGGGCCTTGTACTTCAATATTTCCTCGCCAGTAATGTGTCATTTTCCTGACTTTTATGTAAATAACTATTACCCAAAATCGTCATGCAACCTTCATTTTAATGCCTACTTTAAGCCAGGAAAGTTTAGTTTTCATGACATAAACAGACCAGATTGCTTTTCCTGCCGCCCGTCACTTTACCGGCCGCACCTGTCACTTTTCCGGCCCCACCTAGGTCACATTGCTAAATTTCTGTAATGACTCCTGTCATCACTGACAGATTGACATTAATCTTTGAATATAATAGTTATTTATGCATCAAGGGCATTAAGGCGATATTTATGCCGAGGGCGACAGAGCCCGAGGGCCTCCGGCCCAAGGGATTGTAAGTCGCCCGAGGGTTAAATATTGAGTAATGCCTGAGGTGCATACAACATTTTATTTTTCATCGTTCCAAATAATGCATTTCCAACATACAAATGTCATGATTATTGTTTGCGCAACTTTAAAATGCTTCATACGAATCAAGTTGCATCTTTTTTATTACATAATATAACTCCGTCAATCAATTTGACAGACCGTTTGAGGGCATAATGAGATGACAATCCATTATGCCCTCTCATTATGCCCTTGGGCGTAATAGACTGCTTCATATATCACTTATGACAGATATAATTGACATATAATAGGCAAATGAAAAATAAAATATTTTATATTCAAAGAAACACGAACTTATGTACCGAAAGGAACGTGGTCGATGTTAAATTGCAGACGGCCAGACGCCGTATCTTCGATGTCGTTTCGGAAGTGTCGGGACGTCGGGTCGACTTTTGCTCTCGGGGCGACGGGGGAGATGGAAGGTAACAAGAAGGCGCCAGATACGATTTGAGGCCTTTTTTCGTAGATTTCTGGAACAATTAACGATAACTTTTTTCAAAACTTTTTTAGTTATGGAGAGTAGTAGGAGACTTATCCGTAGTTTTCTTGAAAACATTGAAAGGTGGAAGGCGTACAGGGGGGGGGGGGGATTTTTGTCCGAAGTGCGCAGTCAGGAGAGTCATCGATCCCGCACTGTCAAAGGGTCACGGAACCTTTCCAACGAAGGGGGTGAAATTTTGACTCTAACAGTGACGCTTACAGGTTCTGGAAATACGATAGTAGTTATAGTACGAGGCTCCTTTGGGAATACTTTACTTCCAGAGTCAAGTAGTGTCATTTTACTGACGAGTTTTGTGTTAACTTTTGCCCGAAACCGTAGGTATTTTAATATAACATTTCAATTTTGATTAACTTTGACTTTTGATTAATGTCAATCTGTCAGTGATGACAGGATTGACAGGAGTCATTAGACATTACCAACGTGACAGGTGCGGCCGAAAAAGTGACGGACGACGGTTGCGACTGGTAGAGTGATGAGAAAAGTAGTCTGCTCTGCCTCTGTCATGAAAACTAAAATTTCCTGACGTAGTATAGGCTTTGAATATAAAATTAGTTTATTTTAGTTATTAAAATTAATTTTATATTCAAAGGTATAGGCCCGAAAGAAAATGAAGCTTCCATGACGATTTTGGGTAAACGTTATTGCGGGTCTGACTAAGTAAAACAAAGACAATACTACCAGTTCTAAGTGAGATATAATACACAACAAACTAAAGGCCCTGCCACACAGAGCGCGGTCTGCGATATCAGTATTCTATTTACAAGCATTTGTAGCATTGATTATATACGTGTGTACAATCAATGACGAGATTAATGATTTGTAGTTATACGTGTGACCTGTCCGACAGAGCGAGCTTTCTGACCATATTCTGACCTAGGCAGGACTGTTTAACAGGTTACATAGAATACAAATATCGCAGCCCGCAGATCGCGCTCTGTGTGGCAGTCTTTAAAGCGCTGATGCCATACATAGGTACGTCTTTTTACTTTTAGTAGGGTATAGGTAGTATCAAAGAGTATTACTCTTTGGTAGTATCAATGGCCAATTTAAATATTGCCACTGCCATCATTGTTAAAGTTTTCTCTCTCTCATACTCATAATACATCACGACGAACTTTTGAGGCTCGCGCACAATCGCTGATCTTTAGAAATATTAGCGGAAAAATAGTTAAAACATTCGGGAACATTAGAGATTTAATTTTTAGTTATTAAATTCTTGAAGGGAAAACAATTTTAAAAACAACTCTCGTTTTTCGCGTGTAATGTTGCTTGTCTATAATCATATTTTCCATGCATTGTTGTATCATGTATGTTGTACGTTCTACCGTTGAATGAATTAATTACTCAATGGTCCTACATTATATATTTAAAAAAATTCTCTGTATATTCAAAACCTGAATACCGATTATTTTAAGATGTCAACATCAGTTTGAAACCGTAAAAACGCTACCAGAAAAACATAGTTACTTAACAGAGTCGCGTGGTAAGGAGACACGCGACGTGAAGCAGTGTAAGAATGACAAATTGAACTCAAAGACGTAAAAATAGTATATTACCAGACAAGTGCATGATGAAGTCTTTAAAGTACGTGCAATGAGTCTATATTGGCACGACGCGTAGCGAAGGGCTTTTAAGGACCAATTATATACGTGGTTCTTATAGTATTTTTTAAATTATACCTGCAATGCAATTTAAAAATAAGGGAAAATAATTAAAAAATCATATTGACGTACATACTCGAATACGTTTCTGATTCGTAGTTCCATGATTTCAATGGAAATGTCCCTTGACGTTTGCTCATAAAAATCGCCGTCTTTGTAAATAAAATGACAAAGATAATTCACCGTCTATTCAATAGCTTGTTGCAAAAGCAGAAGAAAACATTGGTAGGTTCATAATTCATTCATCTCATCACCTTCTATTGTAGTGGTGGACCCATCATTAATTATTCAAAATTATCTTGCCTGTCTTTCCCAAATATAAATATATTTCCGTAAATAAAAAGCTTTTTTGGGAAAGACAGGCAAGATAATTTTGAATACCTACTCATCATCTTCGATTTTTCGACATTTAATTTCATTCCTTTTCTTTCTCAGTGCCTACGACCTACCTCTCTATTTTTCCCATATTTTCCTTTCTCTGTTTTTTGCCTGTTGGAAATATATAGTAGGTACTGTGTTACAGTGGCGGCGCGTAGTGGTGTGTCTTGGGGTTGCACAATTTAAAAAAAGGGGGAAAAATGAGGCCACGGGCAAAACGCCGGTGGCGAAAATTTTTTGAGTGTCACCACAACATGAAGTTTTTTGGGACTATTAAATGGCATAAAAAAGCTTATTGATGAGACCTCTAAATACTCCAGGGTTTATTGAATTTTCTCGTTTGTCATGGCTGCGGAGACGGAGAGCAAGTTCCACCACAAAATTTTTTACGGTCTATAATTTTGGATAAAACATATCTGTTCTTTTTTACTTCCTCATTACGTTTTTTGATACTCAAACGATATGCACTATTTCACTGTTGCCGTATATCTTGCTTACCTAATAAATTAAATCTCAATTTAGCAGTTATATGTGCCTTTGAAGATTGATATTTTTTAATTTTTTTGGATAAATGCACTAAGTCTGTAACGCCATTCTTTGTCCATTTTGATGCCTCATCACCGAGCTCATCACCAAACAACAAACACGGAAAACAATACAGACCATTGTTAAAGTTACAACTGCATAACCAGTCAGTTTTTCCATACATGTCTATTTTAAACGATCGTTTATAATCCCGACTTCCTTTATTGATTTTCGATATTTCCAAACTCGGTTTTGGGCGACCCGCATTTTTTATTTCAATTTGATCTTCTAATTTTAGTAAATTAAATTTAATAATTGTCTTTAAATAATGAACGGTAACGTCGCAACGTTACTTTTAAAACCGAAACGATCAACAAGCCCTGCTTCGTAGTCCGGCGAGTACTGTTCACAATGAGAGTGTGCTCTTGCTATAGTTTACAACTTGGACCTTCGCGGGGCGCACGGGGAAAGGCGACGTAGCGTTTGAACGAATCAGAGATCGTAGCTAATTGTGCACTGCACGCAAAGGCGGAATGGGAATAATTCTTAATACACGTTCAGCGGTGTGTCAGTGTACTCTTTAGGTTTTGCATTTCAGATAAGATAAGTGAACATTTTTATTGCGAGATACGAACGTGCAAGAATGTTAAATACATAAATAGAATTGTTATTGTTTTCGTTTTTTTAAAATGATTTTTGGGAGTGCGCGTGCTCGTGCACTTACCTATTGAGAAACCGCCACTGCCGGTGTTATCAGCGTAAGCCATCAGGGACAATATCTTTATCTTCTGTATGCATACTGTACGTTACAACTCTTTGAATCGAATTTAAATTAAAAACCGTTAGTCTTAAGAAAAAAAGTAATAATATATTATTTGTAGGCAATTTCCTACTTAAGCCACAAATTGTATGGTCACTATTTTTTGATAAAAGATACAGTTAGCGAGATTTTTGCAGAAAACGCGTTTATGTTGACTTTTGACCTGCGTAACACATTTTTAGCGGCGCATGCATTAGGAATTTTGTCCCACAATGCATCGTTTTTATTCCTCTTACTACACACTTTTCTCAGGATTGCCGAAGTTTATACCTTGTGGATCACCCTGTACACGAACAGCTGTCATTGTAGGAACTTTTAGTGCGAAACGTCAAAATATACACAGCCACCACTACAACGGGACAAAATTTACTCTTCGTCTGTTGTTTCTAATTTGCATTAAATGTTAATCTCGTCACTTTAATGGCAGTGTCCAGCTGCAAATGTTTTGTATATACATTTGTTATATTTTATACTTAATTTAATTTAAATAATTTATAAAATGAGCGGCGACGGTAATGATGAATCATGGTTATCAAGTTGGGAGCAACAGTGCTCCGAATCCATCGAAGAACAACCCGATTACGAACCACTACTCATTACAGACACAAATAATTCTCACGGAAAGATATGGTCTGCGTTTCAAGATTCAGCAACGTCGGTAGCACAGTTGTATCGAGGTATTTCCCATCTCCGCCCATCTCTTCTGTAACTTATTAATCACGCCTTGCAGATCGTTTCACGAGTGATCCTGCGGCTCTTTGGCTCCCATTTCAAGTAGCAGCTGGCACTGTCACGACACTTTACAAAGGTAGGTATCCGTCATCTTGTCATTACTTTGTATAATCTCCTTTGCATAACAGAGGCTAGTGAAAGTTTACGAAGGACAACAGAGTTAGCGATACAATGCGGATATCAGAAACGTAATAGGGAATTATTAAGTTGGGTGAAAAAGAGACGGCGGAATATACGAAGGGAAGACTTACTTGCTTACATCTCAGGAAAACCTTTGCCTCTCAGGTCTACGACCCATTACACTCATAGGTGAGTTGATCTTTTTTAAAGGCTGCTGCAATACCTAAATTTGCGATACAATTTGGGAGAGATAGTGTGTTAATCAGATATTGCAAGTCAAGGTCTTTAACATTAATGTCGACTAATTATGAATATGATGTGGTGGTACGGGTTTTGAGCTTTGTACACTGTTTATTGTATTTACCTACAGTTTTTATTTCTATATGTGACAATGTGTAATCACAAAAGCCAGTGATTAAGGTTTAAATATAATATCCCTTTGTTTACAGGCTGTTATCTAATAATAGATCTGGGGATCCAAATTAATAAATACATTGTTAATAGGTAGGTAAAGGCATGACTAGGGAGAGATTTTCTCTATGAATTCCATCTTTATTGGTATACGGGAGTTTTCCAGGTTTGGGAAACATGTTTTTTTTTCAATTTTAGACAGTAGAACTCCGATCATTCATGCTCCACACGACTGGTCGAAACACGGATAATACACAAATACAGTAGCCATAGCTACCTGACACATTTGAAAAATTGTTCATTAAAGATGGTGTAAATTAAAGTATCTGTATGGAAAATCCCAAGCACTACACTTTTGACAAATGTTGACATTTTCCAATAAAGTGGTATTAGTTACAGGGATGTAAGTACCCAATATTAATTTTTTTAAATATTGGCACAGTATGCCACACAGGCTTAATGACTATTTGCCAGATTTTTTGAAACATTCTTGGACAAAACATATTTTTTTGAAAATTGTTTGAATAAAAAAGGTTCAAACAAAAAATATTGTTCATTGGTATTGTTCCAGTTTGGTTGAAAATATTAATACAATTTCCTCCGGTCTGCCCCAAGAGACATTTGACATGTTTTTTGAAATACTTTTCAATTTGTGTCGAATGGGCTTGACATATTTTTTGAAAATTGTTTGAATAAAATTTGTTTTGAACAAAAAATATTCTTCATTAGTACTGTTGCATGTTGGTTGAAAATATTAATACAATTTAGGCCGACCTAGAGACGTTTGTGACATATTTTTTGAAATATAAGTTGAAAATTGAAGCCAATTTGTGTCCAACGCTGTTGACATATTTTTTGAAACTTGTTTAAACAAAAAATATAAATCATTAGTATTGCCTCATTTTGGTTGAAAATATTAACACAATTTGCGCCGATCTGGCCCCAAAAGACGTTTGACTTTTTTTTAAAAAGTGTTGAATAAAAATTTTTTAAACATAAAATATAAATTATATAACATTAGTATTGCTCCATTTTGGTTGAAAATATTAACACAATTTGTGCCGATCTGCCCCAAGACAGGACGGGCATGACATATATTTTGAAAAATTTTTCAATAAAAATGGTGTCAATAAAAAATATAAATCTGCTCCATTTTGGTTGAAAATATTAAGTAACACCATTTTCACCGATCTGTCACAAGAGTCGTTTGACCTATTTTTAGAAACATTTTTCAATTTGTGTCGAACGAGCTTGACATGTTTTGAAAAATATTGGAATAAATTTAAACAAAAAATATAAATCATTAATATTGCCCCATTTTGGTTAAAGATATTAACACAATTTAAGCCGATTTGTTCCAAGAGACTTGACATATTATTGAATAAAAATGTTTTGCACATATAATATAAAACATTAGTATTGCTCCATTTTGGTTAAAAGTATTAACACAATTTACGCTGATCTGCCCCAAGACACGTTTGACATATTTTTTGATACATTCTTTAATTTGTGTCGAACGAGCTTGAGATTTTTTTTTTAAATTTTTTGATAAAATTGATTTAAACACAAAATATCAATCATTAGTATTGGTCCATTTTGGTTGAAAATATTAACACAATTTGCGCCAAACTGCTCCAGGAGTCGGTTGATATATTTTTTGAAATATTCTTCAATTTTGGTCGAATGAGCTTGACCTATTTTTTGAAAATTTTTTGTATAACATTGATTTAAACAAAAAATATTATTCATTAGTATTGTTGCATTTTGGTTAAAAATATTAACACAATTTTGCGCCGATCTACCTCAAGAGACGTTTGACATTTGTGAAATATTTTTCAATTTGTGTCGAACGCGCTTGACATGTTTTTTGAAAAATTTTTGAATAAAAATGGTTTAAACAAAATATAAATCATTAGCGTTGCTTCATTTTGGTTGAAAATATTAACACAATTTGTGCCGATCTGCCCCAAGACACGTTTGAAGTATTTTTTGAAATATTCTTTAATTTGTGTCGAACGGACTTGACATATATTTTGAAAAATTTTTGAATAAAAATGGTGTCAATAAAAAATATAAAACATTAGTTTAGTACTTACTGGTCCATTTTGGCTGAAAATGTTAAGTAGCACCATTTACGCCGATCTGTCACAAGAGACGTTTGACATATTTTTAGAATATTTTTCGATTTGTGTCGAACGGGCTTGACATATATTTTTTAATAAAAAAATATTGTTTATTGGTATTGTTCCATTTTGGTTGAAAACATTAACACAAAATGCACTGATCAGCCCCAGGAGTCGTTTGAAATATTCTTCAATATGTGTCGAATGGGCTTTACATATTTTTTGAAAAATTTTTGAATAACATTGATTTAAACAAAAAAAATTGTTCATTAGCATTGGTCCATTTTGATTAAAAATATTAACACAATTTGCGCCGGTTTGCCCCAAGAGACGTTCGACATATTTTTTGAAATATTGTAATTTGTATCTAACGGGTTTGACATATTATTTGAAAAATTTTTGAGTAAAAATTGTTAAAAAAAATGAATCATCAGTATTGGTCCATTTTGGTTGAAAATATTAACACAATTTGCGTCAAACTGCCCCAAGAGACGTTTGATATATTTTTTGGAATATTCTTCAATTTGTGTCGAATGGGCTTGCATATTTTTTGAACAATTTTTGAGTAAAAATGGTTAAAAAATATGAATCATTAGTATTGGTTCATTGTGCTTGAAAATATGAACACAATTTGCGCCGGTCTGCCCCAAGAGACGTTCGACATATTTTTTGAAATATTCTTAAATTTGTGTCTAACGGGTTTGACATATTTTTTCAAAATTTGTTGAACAAAATATTATTCATTAGTGTTGGTGCATTTTGGTTGAAAATATTAATACAATTTTGCGCCGATTTATCTCAAGAGGCGTTTGACATTTTAAAAATATTCTACAATTTATGTCGAACGGGATTGACATTTTTTGAAAAATTTTTGAGTAAAAATGGTTTAAACAAAAATACGAATCATTAGTATTGGTCCATTTTGGTTGAAGATATTAACACAATTTGCGTCAAACTGCTCAAAGAAATGTTTGACACCGTTTTTTAAATATTCTTGATTAAATGTAATTTAAAACTAAGTTATACAGGAGGTGAAAAAAAAATAGCTGGTCAACATATTCTTTTGAAAATATTAAAAAAACATTTTTCAATTAGGTACAGAGTACTATTTGACACATTTTTTTGAAAAACTGAAATGGACATTTTCAATATTTTACAAATATTGACACAATTTTTCAAATATTTGTGCTAAATGGGTTTGTTGGGAATCCAGTGATCTTACAAATTTTGCTTAAAATTGAGCGAAGAATTGAAATATCGAATAATATACAGAGTGTTAAAATTATTACTACCTATATAGTAGACCTCAAAATGTTTGTATAAAACTGTATTCGATATCTTGTATATTTTCCCCGATATGTATATGAACCTTGTATATGATAGTAAAGAGGTCACAAATACTCTTAATTTCTGGGAAATAAAATGAGAATGTATTACAAAACTCAGGTGGGCGCATGCGGGAAGCATATTCTCCTTGGATCTTCCTAATGGAAGGGAAGTAAATAACATACGTAATGCGGAGCGCGCATGCGCATAACAAACTGCAACGTTCTTATATTTTGAGCAATAAAAACCAATAGATCACAAATGCCATTTTCTTTCTTGTGGACGCTAGCAGCAAGATCCCCTGATGCTTGGCAAATTGTTCCACCTGATCAATGGAGTCAAGTGTGCGAATCAAGGTGAACGATTTGCGCTCCGGCCTTGAACAACCTCATCATTCGTATCTGCGCATTCGCGTAACGTTCTAATATATTTATGTTTTAGGGGTTCGCCGAGACATCGGAATATATCACCGCCGCCCGGCGTCGCCCCGCCGGCGTCGTTCGGCAGCGACGCCGACCTACACACGTTTAGGGAGGCCCTAGCACGATCGCCGATATCACGCCTACCTCTTAGTACCGATCTATGTGCTTTCATAACGGGTGAAATAGATAGGAACGGTAAACGAGCGCCCAGCCCTTCCGACGTTCCAATGAGCAGCCCTTCCCACCACAAAAGACCTAGGTATATGTGAGATAAGACGTTTGTTTCAATTTCGCCATCGGTGGTGTTTGTATTTCAACTGTGAATATAGTTATAGCTATTGTATAATCATCATCAAGCA